ATTGGTTCTGTTCTTGGTTATGTTCTACTTGTAAATATATTTTGCCCATATAAATGATTTGGATTTCCACTGTCGGGTAAAAGTTGAGGTTACGCCTGCGCCACCTTCCTTACATTGCCTCTATTTTATTTACACGCGTAAATACAATACTTGGAAAGAAAAACTGCAGCATATATTGAATTGACTAGATCCAAACAAAGCAATTAATTGAGGTAATTTTCTCTTACATTGTAATCTCACATTAATATTTACATACTTTTTTGAAAGCGTGATTTGTGAATGGGTTTTAACCCGTTCAATAGCGAGGACAGCGTGAATCGTCAATTTTGTCAGGAGCCCTGATTTTGTAACTAAACGGCTTATTTTTACTTACCTTTTTTCAGTAGTAATAGACATACATATTTCAGTTTCTCAAAAAGCAAAATACTATTCCCTGTAAATAACTCAAGTGGATTATTTTTTGTCTTAATAAACAACAGTGTAAATGCTTTGTTCCTTGTATTCAATGTCTCCTAATAGTCAAAGGCGGATTTAGGGGCGGGGGAGTGGGGACGAGGAAGCGGCGACCACTCCTTTTTTCTTTGAAATTTTGTATCATTTTTATAGAATTCTCCGTTTATATAGCTGGCAAATGTCCCGGCCACCCCTTTCTGAATTTTCTGGATTCGCCCCTGCTAATGTATGCAATAACCTGCGCAGGAAAGTCGACTAGGCCTCTTAGCAGCTAATCTTGCTTCTTGTGTCACTTGATAAAAACTAAACAAATTTAGCAGTGACGTTGGAAATTGGTGGCCACCTCTCCCATTTTTTCTCATTTACTGCCGGCCACCCAAGCACAGGGTACAAGTGTAATTGGCTGGAATGGTAACTTTCTCAGTAAGTTTGGTGAAAGAGGTGATGACCAGCTTAGTGAACCTGAAGATTTCATGATCAATAAACGGTGACTGTAATATTAGGGAGCTTAAGCAACTACGACGACGACGACGTCGACGACAATTTCAAAAAAACAATTTGTTTAATGATCAAAACAACAGCTCTGCACGTGCATCACGCTTTTTAGTACATTTCTTTGACGTTCACTGGACTACGACGTGAAACCTCCTAATTCGACGTTCTATGGAGGACGTGGACATACGACGACGAATTTTCCTTCCTCTTTTTGAACTTGAATTACAGTCAACTCTAGCCTTGCGGACACCCCGCTATAACGGACACCCCGATAATATGGACAGCAGCTAAATCCCCAGCAAAAACAAATTACAGATGTTTGACTGAAATCAACTCCCGCTATTAAGGACTCTCGCTAATGAGTACACCAACCAGAGGTCCTTACAGTGTCGGCTATAAAGGGAGTTGACAGTAAATCCTTACGAATTCAACTCCAGGAAAAGTCGCCTGCATTTGACATATTGAGCGGGTCCAAATAGACGCGATTAAGTTTGAAAGAACGCAAATTCATTTGTTTTAGGGACGTTTTCACTGCCGTCGTCTTCATCCTTGCTTAAGGTCCATATTATTGTTGCTGATCAAGGTAACAAATTCATCAAGATATTCTGTTATAGAGACGAGTATTTATTCAAATTTGGTGGAGCAGGTACTCATGTTTGCTAATCTCTATCACTGTATCCTACACAGTCAATATCTTATACAGTTGAAACTGTCTACAACAGCCACCTTGGGGACAGAAAAAAGTGGCCATTGTAGAGAGATGGTCGTTGTAGAGGTTGAGACAACAGTGAATGTACGGACAGTCCGCCTAAAAAAAAATGGCCGTTGTAAGTCTAAAACTATGGTTATCATCTCATTAAAATGCATATATATGTTTGATCCTGAGGGAAACTTTTGTTAATTTGGAAAACGGGACCAAGGATGGAGAATTCAACTAACCTCGTTCCCAGTCAGTTAAAAAAGCAGGACTGAGTGCTTATGGTCTGTGATTCCACCAACCACAGAACTCAGGTGCTTAAACTGTGTGGAAAGTTTGTTACAACGACACTTTTTGTTGTGAGTTTTTAAACCGGACTGGTTTAGGACAATGTATAATGCAAGCATCTACAGAACTGTACTTGGCCTTTTTTGAATTTTTTACTGTTTAGAAAACTTTACGGTTTTTTCAACTAGACCCAGTTCCCCAAGGCAGTTTTATCATATCTCAACGCCTTCGCTTTTAAATATCTAAAAAAGGCCAAGCACAGAAGTGATATATTGAACGGCCGGTAAAACAATTGAGGACAGAGGAAAAAAGTGTTGCCTTTTCGAGAACAAGCTTTTTCAGCGTTTTACGTGTCTACATATAAATCTCTTGGATGTAGACCACCCTCTCACTTTTGAAGTGAGCAAATTGAGGTCCATGCTTTAATTTACCCGAGTATTCCGAAACACGATCAATCGAACCGACGCCCTTACTCTTCTCAGCAAGATTTCGATGCCCTTTCTTCTCGCCTCCAGCCTACGGACACAGACGTATTTCCGGTCGTCGCTTCTCTCCACCCCGGTGGAGAGAAGCGACGACCAGAAATACTTCTTTCTCCGCAGGCTATCTCGCCTCAGGTTCCTGAGAGAAAACTAAAGAAGGAAAGCAGTTTACTTGGGTGCCAAGTAGGCTTCTAATGCGAGTTTGATTTGGAGGTTAAGGTGGGAGCACGTGAAGCTCTCTCTCCCCAATCCCCTTTAACTCTCTTTTCTCACCGTCTCTTTGCCCTAACCCCTTAAAAACCCGCTCACAGACTATCAACTTATTTCCGGTTCTTGACGTTTAAGAAAAGTAGGGAGCAAACCAGGTCCTGGAGCAAACAGAATACAAAAACACTTGGATTGTGGGTTTTGAAGGTGATCACCCGGTTTAAAGGCAATCACGTAGATGACTGCTAGTCACGAAACTTTAACTTGATTTTAACTGTTAGTGGTCACGCCCTGATAATGAGCGTTCGAAAGACTTACCGAGTTACCTTCGGATTGTAATGACCACAGATGAAGGTGAAAGGAAAAGGTATTAAAAACATTTTCTCTTGAAAATATTATCACATGATATAACCATTTTCAACAGCTAGGGTAGTTTTAGTAGCAATATCAGTAGAAATGCTTATCGATGAGCCACTTAAAACTGAAATGATCAAACTTTAGATACGATGTCCCTTATTTTAGCTGTTTAGTTTTGTTTTACTCATTCAGTTTGCCCTTTTTTCTATTTCCTTTTGTTTCAGAATTTCTTTCACCAGCTGTAGTCGTTTCAATACACAGAGCATAACTTAGCTGAGTAACTCGGCAAGTCTCTCGAACTTAACACTCACTTCTCAGATGGTGTCCACCACCAAGTTGAGAGTAGAAAATATTGACGATCTATCGATGAGCCACTCAAACCTGAAATGACCAAACTTGAGGTAAGTTAATACCTTCTGTTCATTTTCGTTTCATTCCTTGTAACACCTCACCGCACTATACAGTATTGTTGGAGTTGTAATACATACACCAGAAAAGGGATTATGTGGAGCTGTACTACAGCTATAGTCGACAATTAATCAGGCCAGCAAATCTAATATCCTTTACAGAAAGTGGAGTCTGAAGCTAGAGATTGCAGTTCGTGTCACTATTCTCAAGACGCTTCATCTTTGCTTTTCGCCAAAAAGCTGGTGAGCTATCATTATATTTTCAATTCTTCGATTTTCTCCTCAGGCAATACAAGCTGTTTTCAAATGATATATTCGCAAGTGGCAAATTATTGTGCAAACGAATGCAAAAAATACGCAATCACACCACACTGAGGCTTTTGTCGAGTTGAGAAAAATTTTCCCCCATCATTTGAGAAGAAATCCACACTCAAACTGCAAATGCGCATATTATTCTAATTTCCTTGCTGTGCTACAATCGGTGACAAGGTATTTAGCACGAAAGTTCTAAAGAGTCCAGACCGCCATTTTACAAAGTCATCCGAGCCGAGACCTAGGGGCATCTAGTTGGGTCGATAAAATGTTTGTGGTGAACGTTTACTGTAAGATCGAGACGAGGCCAAGCTTTCGAGACCAGCTTTCAAATAAGCTGGAGCCAATTCAGCAAAGGGCACTATATACATCCATGCCATAG